CAGACACTTGAATGCTTCAGCAACACATGCACTTTTGTTTCATGTCCTGTTGAGCTTCTATTCTTTTTTTCAGTCTTGGAACTTTAGTTTGAACATGTTCAGAAATCTTTTTTATACTTAAACATGTTCATCATATTTTGACAGTGTCTAGTTTGTGACAAGTTTCATTTGATATTTCAAACAAACTCCCCTTTGATTCTTAACTCTGAGTCTATTCATGTTTCAGGAGTGAACATCGGGGAGAGTCTGGACAAACGTTACGACGTGTACGGTTACACGGGTCAGGGAGTGTTCAGTAACGTGGTGAGAGCCAGAGACACTGCGCGAGCCGGCCAGGAGGTGGCAGTCAAGATCATCAGGAACAACGAGCTCATGTGAGTAACACTGTCACTGACACTTTGCTTTACTAAATCTCACATACTGCTCAAAATTCTATTATTACTTTTATCTTTTATTAAACATCTCAATAAAAAAATCCATTTTGTTTTTAAAAAAGAAATGAGAATACCAAACTGACAGTTTCTAAATGGGATTAATGATTGCGTTCAGTATAATACATGTAATACTTGTGCTCCACAGGCAGAAGACGGGTCTGAAGGAGCTGGAGTTCCTGAAGAAGCTGAACGATGCAGATCCAGATGATAAGTTCCACTGTCTGCGCCTCTTCAGACACTTCTACCACAAACAGCACTTGTGTCTGGTGTTTGAGCCGCTCAGGTCTGACACTTTCCTCTCTACACTCCCTTTCTGCTCCATTTGTATTCATCCACTTATATTATTGGGATTATGAGGATTTATATAAACCACAGCAGGAAGGAAAGCATTGAATGGATTAGCTGGAGATTTGGGATTTAATCGTGAATTTGTCTGTTTTTTTACTTCCAGATATACTATTTACAGTTCTTTTTCTTGTTCTGTCAGTACATGGGGTCAAATATATGGCCAGGTCATAAAGAGGGTAGCACTTTGTAATACCTGCACCTTAATAAAGCATTAAAAGACTTAAATTCAGGCTAAGTAACTACATGCCCTCCTAACCTCTTAAAGCTCCTGACTGGGATTAGACTGGTCTGTGGTCTTATTAAGGTCTAGTTATGACAGTGGTACCAGATAGTTTTGAAAACTCTTGTTAATTCCAGGGGCCTTTTAGTCGACAAATAGATGCACAGGACATGTCTTTAGTTTCCTACAGCCTCTCTGTCTCTCTCTCCTCTGACAGTTGTTGTCTTCCTCTTCTTCCTCAGTATGAACCTGCGTGAGGTGCTAAAGAAGTACGGTAAAGACGTGGGGCTGCACATAAAGGCCGTGCGCTCCTACAGCCAGCAGCTCTTCCTCGCTCTCAAACTGCTCAAACGCTGCAACATCCTCCACGCTGACATCAAACCTGATAATATACTGGTAACACCAGATACACGCCTAATGACTCATGGTTTTATTTATTATTTAATGGTACATTTCTCCTTAGTCTGACCAGTGTTGGTGATACATTGTCTCGCATTTAGTCCAACGGCCAACTGGGCTCAACATGCACTGTCCCCTCCTGTCTCTAGTGGGCACTGTAGAATATTTAGTGCAGCACGATTATCTGTGTTTAAGTACGTTTGCTTTGATCAGGTGAATGAGTCCAAGACCATCCTGAAGCTGTGTGACTTTGGCTCTGCGTCTCACGTGGCTGATAATGACATCACGCCGTACCTGGTCAGCAGGTTCTACCGAGCTCCAGAAATCAGTACGTCTGTTTGTGTACAATATTTACTTTTGTTATTACTCTGAGATCCTCACGTCCTTCTGCTGCAGTCATAGGGAAGCCTTACGACTACGGCATCGACATGTGGTCTGTGGGCTGCACTCTGTACGAGCTTTACACCGGCAAGATCCTGCTGCCCGGATCCTCCAACAACCACATGCTCAAACTGGCCATGGACCTCAAGGGCAAGATGCCCAACAAGGTGAGGCGGGCTCGGCTTAGATCAGACCGGCTCCGTGGTCCTGCTGCTCGGTCTGTGCTCGGGGCTCAGAGTACAGAGAGCACAGAGAACACAGAGGTGATGTAACTGTGCGCTTGTGTTTCAGATGATCCGCAAAGGCCTCTTCAAAGACCAGCACTTCGACTCAAACCTCAACTTCCTCTACATTGAAGTGGACAAAGTGACAGAAAGGGTAAACACTCGTCTTGGTACAACTTTTCCAAACTGTTTTTTCAGATTTTTGTTCTTTCTTTGTATTGCCATGCGGTTTGTTTGTTTGGAAATTAAGGTTTTTGTGACAGAAATGTTGTATTCAGTCCCTAGGTTATCAGCCTGATTCATCAGCCGGTTTCACTTTGTCTCACTTCTTTGAAACCGTTTGACCTCGCAGCATTAGAATTCGCTAACGGTGCTAAGTGTTATATTAAGCTTTTCCCAAATCCCGTAGGAAGAAGGACAATAACGTCTTTCCCCTTGATAAAATTCACCAAACATTCTCTTTATTCCGGCTTTAAATCCTCGATCTCGGAAAAGTTGACAACACAGAATATACAGCTCTTCTCTGATTGGCTGGTGCCCGAACTTGCACTTTTGGGGTTTTTGTGAACCGTCTAGTGTATTTTGATTCCTGACCTAGTCGCTGGAGAGAAATAAAATTGAGCTGAGGCACTAGGTTACAGCCACACTTAGCAGTTTTGAGGGCCTTACTTAAAATTAAAAAAAAGAAAATAATTCAAACCAGGAACTGTCTTGAACCAGTGACCAAAGGATTCAAAAGTGTTTGGTGCATCCGCTACTCTACTGCTTACACACAAGTTCCTGGACAAATTAAGAAACACATACTGAAATAAGCTCCTAGTTTATTGTGTATACTGCAGAAAAAGATCAAGGCATTTCACTGAAGTCTATGGTTAAAAAAAATGTCAGTGTATTTTAATTAATAGCAAAAACTTTCTGAATTTTAGAAGTGTATTCTCACGTATCTCCCTTTGTGCTCGTCTCTCAGGAAAAAGTAACAGTCATGAGCACCATAAACCCCACCAAAGACCTGCTGTCGGACATGGTGGGGGGCCAACGCCTGCCCGAGGACCAAAGGAAGAAGGTGATGCAGCTCAAGGACTTACTGGACGGCACGCTCATGTTAGACCCGGCCAAGAGAATCAGCATCAACCAGGCCCTGCAGCACCCGTTCATACAGGAAAAGATCTGACCCTCTTCTTTGAAATCTGAACTGTTTTATTGTAAATACCACCACTTGAACGGTAGCCAACCCGCAGTCATCACGTCACCTCATAACGCAGCAATGCAGTTCACCACTTTAGCGTTAACTGGCATAAAAGTGTGTAAATACTTTCGCTTTAACAATCGGACGCAGTTGGGGTTAGTTGCGTTGTTTTTTTTTTAATCATGTCTCAGTGTGGGACGGTGCATGCTTCGTTTTGCTGTGTTTCGGGTCACTGTAAATGCTCTGTAAAAAATGCATCGACGTCCCTCATGTAAGTACACACACACACAAAAAAACAACAACGAAGGATTAAGAAGTCCACCAGATCTGACACCGTTTTAAGTTCGTAAGCTCGTGTTCGTAAGGCTCGCCGAATCCAAGTGCCTCCCGCTGAGCCGAAAAGCAGAACCTGTGACCGTTCCCACCATAATTGTAAATAGTCCAGACTGTCCTGTCGTTTATGTATGATTTCTGTTTTTCCATAATGTGGTAAAACCGATCTTGTGATTTCAATAAAGAATAGTTGTGGAAACGCCGCTGAAAGGGGCACCTTCAGTTAAAGATTTTTGTAATAAAATGTTTCCAATTGTAAAACAGATTTGAAATTTTTCTTTTTTTTAATTCATTGTAACAAAATGTAGCAAACTTTTTTGGGGAGAGTCAACTGTGTGCTTGTCTCCATGGTGATGTTATTGCTTTTCCTGGAATTTTCAACAATATGGCATTAAACTTATAGGTCAGATCTGTGGAAAGGTGACCCCTGGTAAATTCTATATGGCATCAGGTAACAGAACCAGACTACCAGAAGTTACTTAATGCAGGTTTAAAATAATGGATTTGACATTTAGAGTTATTTTAGACTCATATTTATCAGGGATTATGCAAAAGTTGTGTAAGATCAGCTATTTCAAACAAGTTTAGTCCAGTTCTAAGAAGCTGGTCTCAGGTTTGGGTCATTCCAGCGTTGCACTCTCCATCTTGTCCTCAATCGGAACATTTTCTTCCTCTTATCCTCTCTCTCGCCAAAAGACTTAACCAACCCACAAGATTACACCATTTTTTTGCTCTCCTGAAGAGACTCTCCTAGGTAATATTCCCGTTTCCTTCGGAGTGTAAAGCAGTGACGCAAGGCCTATCTGCACTTACACCGGATCAGGATGAACCCAAGGTAAGAGGCAGAAGTCTAATAGAAAGATAAGTGAGGGTGGATTTTAAGCCAGACATCATGATCTTAAAGAAATGTGGCCTGCTATGAAAGGAAAAAGTGTATCCAAGTAAGTCATTCAGGATCAGCCATCAGAAGTAAAGTGGTTGTAATGTGGTGCTTAGACCAGTAGAGGGCACCAGAAGCACAAGTTGTTGACATTAGTAGATACAGGGCCTTTTCGTAAGTTTGGGTTTGATATCTAAATTGTTCATTTAATCACCAGACACTGTGCTGTTTTCAATGCTCGCTCTGTCTATGTATGTATCTATACAGTATATAACTGTCAACTATATCTGCCCTTCAAAGTAATACATAGGAGTAAAGGCTTTAAGCCTCATTTCCACTGGTTACGTTGCAAAGGCCCTTATGAAAAATACATTTAAATTTAGATAAGATTTAGGTAAAAAAATAAAAATAATAATAATAATAAAATGTAGAATTTAATCAAATTAAATTATTTATTGTATTATTATGTACAATAGAATTAGTCTAAATGTAATAATTATAATAAAAACATTATTCGTCAAAAGAAGATAGCGACACATAAAATCCAGTATATTTTTATTAAAACCATACAAACATTTGTTGTTATAAAAGTGGCTCTCTGGTGGTGTTTTTTTTTTTTTTTCAGACAGCTTCTTGGCCCCATGATCATCATCTTCTGCTAAATCTACACAATAATGTATGTACACAGTACGTAGAAAAGAGCACAATACATGTGAACACAAAGTACAAAACAAAATACAATACAATGCTTTTTGCAAACCTCGGCGGAGCACACTTCTCTCATAGAAATGTCACAACATGTGTATCGTTTTCGGCCTATGGGACTCTGTACATTTCAGGATTCACAATGGTGGGTTGGCAGTGATACTGAGTTACGGACAGGCAGATACATAAGGCACACGTCTCAATGGAATTCCCTTTGTCTAAAGGAAACGATTCAACAAACAATGCACAATCTCAAGTACCAAAATAAGAAAAAAACAACAAAAATCATAGTACCTCACCGGACTCAAACGCTGAAGGTAAACTACTGAATACTGCAGTCTGCACCTGCAGAGTAATAACACTGTCCACTGTTACTGCAGTACTGGCAGTACAAGGATTTAAGAGCTTTAGAGAAAACTATACAAAATGTTTTTTATAAAAAAACAAAAACATGGTCACTGGGACAGTAGTATGGGATGTGCTGTGGACCTGTGGGTCAGAAGACAAACATTAAGTACTATTTAAGTCTGCACCAAAGCACCAATGACTTCAAGCCTCTTCAGACACCAGAGGAAATGTCCATCTACTGTCGAGAAGAGCAGAGAATAAAACTGTATGAATGTACACTGTACACCAGAGTACCTGACCAGGAGTACCTGACCAAAGTCCCTGACCAGAGTCCGTGACCAGTAGCACACAGACCAGACTAAAAGAAGCCTTGCAGACTTTAGGAGGAGTGTGGAGGCGGGGCCTCGTACACAGGGTGGAGAGTTACTATGATGATCACCAAAGGTCTGGAGCACAGAACATAAACAGAAGATGGTCCTGGACAGAGCTGTGTCTGTGCGCTCAGTGTGTCTCTGTGGTTTCATGCAGGTCACCAGTGTGAACAGGAACAGTGAGGATACACAAATACTGTTAGAGGACTTAGGCTCAGCTCATACTGTCATACAAACAAAGGCTTCTGCAAATCTGCCTTCATTCCATAAAAGGAATATAACATTTCTCTATACACTTTGTTACATCCCAAATCTGTGGGATGACAATTTACAAAATATATGGTTTGGCAATGGCCTGTTTTTACATTTGTATAAATTCATAAACATTTAATAAAAGTTCATATCTTCACATACACCAGAGCGTGTCCTTGTGTCAGTCCACGTGAGGCCAGAGCAGACGGGCTCAGGCTACTGGAGGATGGCCAGGAACCTGCTCTCCTCCGCCAGGCTGGAGAGCAGTGAGCTCATGTCCCCTATGGCCATGTTGTTCAGTCCAGGGGCCATAGGGGCCACAGGGCCCATAGTAGCACCAGGGGCCCCAGAAGAGTAGGCTGCAGAGCTGTGAGGCGTGGTGAGTCTGGACGATGTCCTGGACGCTCCCTGGAACATGGAGGGGCTGAGCACCCCTGACACCAGACTGCCCTGGTCATAGTCCTCCAGCATCAGCCCAAAGTCCAGACTCACAGCCTCGTCCAGGACCCCCACCGAGGCCTCCACTGTGCTGGTCACCTGGTCTGAGGCGGGGGAGAGGAGGGCCTCCTGTCCCGTGCCCTCCTCCACAGAGCCGAGCTGGTCCTCCAGCACAGGGCACAGAGACGGTTTCTCCACACACTCAAAGGAGAGTTCCCCAAAGCCCTGCTCCAGGTATCCATCGTCCGGAGCCTCCAGTTTGACCCCAGACCCCTGCAGAGGTGCGGGGCAGCTGGTCCGACTCCTGTGTGGAAGGACCCCCTGCAGACGGTGCAGTCCCTCGGGCCTCTCAGAGCTCTGGGAGTTGTAGCTGCGCACAGAGTGGTTCCTGCTATGGGCCGGGGGGCGGGGGACGAAGGGCAGCCTGTGGGGGGGAGGCCCTGAGCTTTGGGACAGTGCACACAGGTTGTCCATGGTTCTGTTTAGTACCAGATTGTTTCCCACATGACAGGAGGCTGCGTAGTTCTGCTTCTGAGGTCCATGAGCAGACTGCTGTTTAAAGTTTAGACTATTGTATGTCCCGTGTATGGAGCCTCTCAGCTCCATACACGGGAGCCGAGATGACTCCGTCTTCACGACTGGGGCCACACTGCAGGAGCTCTGGGCACAGGGGCTCTGGAGCTCTGGGGGGCACTGTTGGACAACCATGTTGGAGAAACGTCCAAAGGGTTTGTGCTCTGCACTGGGCCACCTCTCACACTGAGGGTAAGGTCCTCTCTCTGGAGACATGTCCGCACTGCCAGAGCTCACCTCGTTCCACTGGATGGGCAGTTTGCTGGGACTCCTTCTCTCTGTTCCCTGGTGCTGAGGGAACACCACGCTCTGTCCCAGAGCGCCCCCTTGTGGCTGACAGAAGTCCCTTTGACTCACTGCTGCTTGGTCCTGGAGCTGCAGGTAGTCCCCTTCTGCCTGGGCCTGTGAGTGCAGGTACTGCACCAGCTCATCGGGGAGGATGCACTCTTCTCCCAGCAGCAGCCCTGCCCCACCGTCCTCCATGGCCAGAGCCTCCAGAGCGGCCTGCTCCGCGATGCTGGGGGTGGGGGGCTGCTGTGAGCTGCCCTCTGCACCAGCGTAGTGCAGGCTGAGGCGGGGGTCAGGGGCTGGGTGGTGGGAGAGGGGGGGCAGAGGGTGGAGGTTGTTAAGGCTGTTGAAACGCTGCATTGGGGGCAAGTTTCCAGAATCATACACTTGTGTCCGCACAGGGTCACTGGCTCTGCGGGCGCCACTCACGGGCCCCTCCCCGGGGTAAGGCACCCTCCTCCTGTAGCCCACCTGAGCACCCATGTGAGCACCCACATGAGCACTCACGTGAGCGCCCATGTGAGCACTGGTGTCGCTGCAGCGTTGCGGCCTCACCAGAGGGGGCAGGTGGTTGGAGTTGTCTTCCATGGCCCCCAGGCGAGGCTTCATGTTGGGCAGAGGAGTGGGGGGCGGACCCCCTGTAGCTGCGGCGTACTTGGCCTTTAGGTGGTAGTGCTGAGCCGGGGTCAGACTCAGAGACCCTCGGGAGCCCCCTAAGCCTGCCCCAGAGTACCCCCCCTGGCCCCCTGCCCCTCCGCACTGGCTGGCCTCGCTGGAGCGGCGCGAGGCGTCGGTGGAGATGGGGTCGTAGGAGTCGGTGGAGCTGCGGTTGTGGAGGCGCTGGTGGGTGGAGTTCTGGCTGGAGCGGCGGCTGGAGAGGCAGGGGGAGAGGCTGCTGCTCAGGTAGGCCGAGCTGGCCGCGCTGCCACTGCTGTCCCGACGGTCCCTCCACAAGCTCAGCACCGTGAGCTCTGTACTGCCCAGATCTGACACCGGCCACGGGCGAGATTCACACGGCCCTAAGAACACACACCAGAGGAGGTGAGGCTTCTGTCTGTTCTCAGGGAACACGACGAGACCCTCGCCACATATCTGATCATAATACTCCCATGGGAGGAAAGTTATGGGATACTAAATACAAAACAGAATAGCTCTGGAGAAGACAGAGCAGTGCTTACCCTTGCCCATGGGTGCAGGTGGTGCGGGGGCTCTGGGTGGGGGTGTGGGGGACAGCCTGGGCAGACCTCCGTTCACCTGCTTCAGTCGCTCCATCTTGAGATGCTCCATCCAGCGGAGGGGCCGGCCCAGGCTGCGGCGCGCCTGCAGGGTCAGCATGGCGGCTGTTGCCGTGGACACGGTGGAGTCCATGATGGGCGCTCCCTCTCCATCACACTCGTCCTCTGCCTCCTCTTCCTCCTCTCTCTCCTCGTCCTCCTCCAGCCCCTCCCCTGCCAGGCCCCCCACACTCACAGCAAACTGGACTCCACCGCTGGGATAGGAGCTGACGGGGGACTGCTCACTGCTGCATGCAGACTGACCGCCAGGGCTTGGCTGAGACGTCTGGCAGGCACAGAAACAAGAGTTAGAATGTTCCCCTGGTGTGCCAGCTTTTTCTACTCACACTAAAATGAACACTGACACTTTAAAGAATATTTGAATGGACCAAATACCAAACTCAATAGTACATGGATTTATGGATGTATGAATATATGAATATATGGCCTCATGAGCAATAAACATATGACATAAAAAAATTAAAAATACCAACACAACACATTCTTTTTGTGTGTGACCAGTGAACAGGACGTAATCACTGGTTAAACACACAAATAAATCTTCAGACACATGAATCATATTTTGGGATGGAAGGATCTTGTGCTGATAACTGCGCTCGCCCTAAGAATGATCTAACTAAACTCATCACAAAGCATCACACTGCTGTTCTTCCTTCATGATTCAACATAAAATGACTTGATGAGGTGACAGTTGTACTTTAATGCAGTTGATATGAGTGTTGAAACAGCACAGAAGGAGTATGGAGGAGTGGATCGGTCACAGATGGAGTGGCCCACACCAGTCTCACCTGATCACCCACTGTCCACACACAGGCAAAAGCACAGAGGGGAGAAGGGAGAAGGACTTGTTAGAAATACTTAAGAATTGTTAGTACATAGTGGGGTGGCTGTTATATGCTGTTAATATGTTAAAAGGACCTGATCAGGGAATGAGTCAGATTATTTGACTGATTTACAGTATTTTAAGACTTTATTTCTACTGTTTTTGTTGTTTGTTTTTTACTAACAAAGAAAACATGTCACTGGGGAAAAAAATCCAAGCAAATCCAAGAGTACAGTGCAGCTTTGAGTCACATGTATTGAATAGTTTTTGCAGTACCATGCTCGAGTTCTTACCATGGGCTTCTCAGTCTTGATGGACTTGACCTGCAGGCAGTCGTCCTGTTTTGAGGTAGCGTGATTGTACTCCCTTTGGTCGGAGAAGGGCCCCAGAGGCAGGGAGCCAGGTGAGCGGCCCTGCCCGTGGGCCCCTGGCTCTCTGGGCTGTGGGGGGCGTGGGTGGGGGTAGTCTCCGCGCTGCTTCTTGGTGACGTGAGCTTCGGGCCCGTGCACTGTCTTGACGTGCTTCCGGAGAGAGCTGGGGTCGGTGTAGCGTTTGGTGCAGCCGGGGATTTTGCACACGTAAGGTTTCTGGAAAATGGCATCAAAAAAAGTTTAAATAACGGGCGAAAAATCTAACACAATCATATAATACTATATACTAATTTCAAACCACAGTTATAACAGTTATTTTGACAACCATATTTGGACAATTTGCTGAATGTCTCTCCCACTCTTCACACCCACTTCATGTGGCTTATTGTCTAATTTTATTTTTTTTTTTATACCCAATGCCATTTCTCAATCTCATTTCTGTTCTGGTGCTTATGTCTTGGATATACAGTGTGTACCTCATTGGAGTGAGTCCTGTTCTGGTGCTTGGCTCGGTCTGAGGCGTTGGAGAAGGCCTTGTTACATCCTTCGTGCTCACACACATAGGGCTTCTCTCCAGTGTGAGACCTCAGGTGAGTCTTCAAGTTCTCCAGACGTGAGTAGGCCTTCGCACAGCCCTCGAACTGCAGAAAGAGACAAACACAGGTCAGACATGCAACAAGCAGTGGGTTACTTACCCAAAACCTTGCCTGTCCTCTATTATGCAAAACATGTTTTAGCCATGTTTTAAAGCTTTCTTATCAATACAATTTATTGTGGCAAATTGTTAGTTATCTTGCCCCTGTACAGATATATTATAAAAACAGCTTTGGAGGTCAAAATCTAATTATAGGGCACAAACCAGTACCCAACTTATTTCTCACTTTCTTATGGTAAAATAGTAAATGGTCACATTTTTCTATAGCGCTTTTCCACCTTCAAGGCACTCAAAGCACTTCACAACCAACAACAAGCACCCACCCCATTCACACAAATATTCATACACCAGTGAACACAGACACAGAGAACGAGGTGGGTTAAGTGTTTTGCCCAAGGACACAACGACAGCATTCATCTGTTGGAGCTGGAGTCACACCAGCCAACCTGTAAATCAGTGGATCTGACCACTTAACCCATGATGTTTATGTCAAGAGCGGAATTTGAACCGCCAAACTTCAGACAAGTGGACGAACGGTCTACCAACTGAGCTACTGTCGCTACTGCCGCACATTTCTACAATCCTAATTATTTGCATTGATGAACTTTATGAGCACGTTTCACAACTTACTCAGGCCAGAGTGGAATATTACTGTTAGGATGCTGACAGCACAACATCATTAGACCTACCTACATGTTTGTTTTTTGCCCTGAAGAGCTGATTTTACTATATATGTGCTGGGGCAAGACCATTTTGACAATAAGTTCCTCCACCCCAATGATTTTTATAGATTTCATCAGATTTTTCTTTTCGAGTTAATAAATTACAAACAAAACCGCACGTAAACCATCCATCATTCGTTTATTTGGGGCGTGCGTTGGTTCTTACCGTGCACTTGTGTGGCTTCTCCCCCGTATGGCGCCTCATATGGACCACCAGCATGTACTGCGCCTTGAAGGGCTTCTGCTCCCGAGAACACTCCTCCCAGCGGCACACGAACTCCTTCTTCTCCCCGTGGATGTGGTCGTTGTTTATGTGCTGGAGAAACAAAAACAAAACGTATTCATCAACTTTTTGTTTTGTAGTTGAAAAATGGCTTCACAGCTTTCATGGGCGGAGTTAGGGGGTAGGTGAAAACTGAAATTTCCGGAGACCTCAAACTTCAAATGTAGGACAATACAGAAGTACTCAAAGAAATAAAAAATCCTCAAACACCAAAATTGAAAATGTAAAATATGAATCTGGTATTGAACCTTCACCGTTCCTCACTCTATCCTCGCCTGCACCGAAACCCAGAGAGCGAGAAGCCGTAGCCGCGAGTGTCCGACTTGAAGCGGATTTTCAAATAAAACCCTGTCACCTCACATCACTCCGAGTCGGCGCCCCTTCGTGACAAGAGCTGACAGTTGTGCTGCCGTGGCAACTCCCAATCTGCGGCTTAAGCCCGGGAAACGGCGAGGAGGGAGAGAGCCTGTCCGAAGTTCAGAGCGAGACCCCAGTCAAGTATTACACCTGCATATCTGTAAACGCCACATGTCTCTTTACTCTTATCGCTGTCCGGGGGGAGTAATTGGCGGGAATTACAACGCGAGGGTGGAATTGTCAACATCTGGGTGTTTCAAAGTATCTGGTATTTCTTTTCAAGGTTCAAACATCATATCTGTGAAGGTAAGTAGAGGTATTGCGGCGCCTGGTCTTGGTAGAAAAAAGGAGGAGAGGATAAGGGAAGATTTGACCCAGGACCCGGGCGATAAGATGATAGAACACGTAAAGCAAATACAACGTTTAATGGTGGAAGGAGAGAGGTGAAGAGGAGTGGAGAGGAGAAGCATCGTGACCCCGTGTACCAGAAATAGTGCAGTTTGAGTCAGTTAGTGTGTATACAAGAGGGAGGAGGTGATAAGAGAGTTCACAGTCGAGTCAGATGTGTCAGAGGTTTATGGGTATTTTTAGTAGCACCTCTTTTATAAACTGGACATAACATGAATAGACAGTTTCCACGTTTACATGATAATTACATTAATTCCGAATAAAAGTAATTCAAATCTGAATAAAAATTAATTCTGCTTTAAAAAGACTGTGTAAACACTTAATTCTTAATGAAAATGATTATTCAAAATTACACTTAATTCCAAAGTAAGTGGGTGGTTTATTCCAATTTTAAAGCTGAATTCATTTCTTCCTCGATAGGGGTGTGCAAAAATATCGGAATATCAATATATCGTATCATTTAATATGATGACGCAGTATCGATAACGTGGGCTGCTGTATCGATATATCGCCAAGAGTATTTTTTGGTGTATTTTACTAAATGATGTTGTTACAGCTACAGTTTTGTTGCTTGTTTAATGGAAGGAAACTTGTTTATGCGACACATTTGACATTTTCACAGTTTTGATGAGTAAAATGGGTGTGTTTCATTTTAACTTTGCACAAGAAGTGGTTTAACAAAGACTTTAAGTAAGCTGTTATTTTTTATTGAACCATATCCAATCGAGTTGAAATATACTGTATCGAATCGAAAGTGCACTGTATCGAGATATGTCTCGTATCGTGGCCTATGTCTCAAGGTTTGTATCGTATCGGCAACTTCTTAATGATACCCAGTCCTATTCCTCGATCATAAACATTTATTCTTCTTAAAACTAATTGCGGTCGTTCAGCACATGGTCGTTGTGTCGACAATCCAGCACCACCAGTCCTGGCTTCAGACTTTCATCCACGTCTCTTTGGATTTGCGAGCGGGATGTGGGAGTGAGCTGAGTCAGAGCAGTCGTTGACTCAGTTTGTCTTCTTCCTCCTTCTCCGACACTCTTCCCTTCTCCTCCTCAGCCGACAGACCTAAAGCGTGATGAGAGAATTCTCCAGCCGCTGCTTCATTATCATCGGAATGACTGCGGGAAAGGTTTGGATAATGCTTGTGTCCGTGGCGTAACAACAAACCGAGATGACAAAAAAGCCGGTAGCAGCTGAAGTGTGTGTTTTCTTCCGGTCGACGCAAATACGTTCGTGTCCCTGCCCAATCAGAACCCTTCCCCACCCCCAGACGCTGAGTGGAATTAAATAAAGGCAATTTAACATTTTTTCCATGTAAACTCGAAGAAGAATATTTTAACTCAGAACAATTAATTCAGGACTTAAAAGACACCATGTAAAAGTGACCATTGTGCCATGGTGTGACATATAATACACATTTTCAATAAACAGTAAAAGTTGGCATTATGATAGAATCCAGTATTATCTTTGTTTGAGACAATATAAGCAGGATACTACAGATAGAGACAGAGATGAAGAACACTTTTGTCCGGATGACTGTTCCTCTCCTCAAACTGCCCCAACACAGATCTGCTGACCCTACCTGACCAGTCCTCCCGTTCGTACTGAGAACTTTGACTGAGACGCAAATTCAACAGAAAAGCTCAGCACATTTCCACAGCTAAACTTGAATTTCCCTCGGGATCAATAAATAATCGCGGTCTCGTTCTCTCATTGAAAAGTTTTAAGTCTCGTTGTGACAAAGTGGGTGATTTGCTTTACCTGGAACTGATCCTCACCTGGGGGGAGGTACTTCCTGTTGGGCGGAGTATAAAAGCACATAGGCACAGAGAGACTTCTGTGCAGGTTTTTAGGGGTTTTTCAATTTGCGTTACTTATTTTCTCTTTATTCGTACTTTCATTTGTGCTAAATAAAGAAGTCTATTTTAAAATAAATGTTGTCTGGTTAGGAAGACTTATTTTTGTTGCATCTGCTTCCTGCTTTGACCAGTTTGCCCAGCTTCCCCACACTCGTCTTGACGCCTTAACTGGTTTTTAACACCGCACGGGTTTACAGTTTTGCTTTAAAAACCAGGTTGAATATTTTTTCTTTTTTTTCTTTCTAAATCTTGTATTTGGCCTTAGAACTCAAGAAATAGAAACACCATTATATTTTAAAATGAATGATAATAATAATAAAAAAGTGATATGTGACATAGATAGAGGTTTATTGTTTAGTTTCTTTTCAAATCCATACTCACTGTGAATTGTAAATGCAGAAATGGACTATTCCATAATGATGCTTGGTAATAAAATAATAATAATTTAGTTTCTCCAGGTTTGACGGTGTGGAGCAGTCGTGTATGCAGATGTTTGAGCTGCTCGTGTGTGTGCGCTGTGGTGTAAAAGCCAAAGAGCAGAGTCCGGTCCACACTAATGTATCCAGCGCTCAGGAGCTCCATCACTCTCGCTGACACTTTTTAATTTTCTACTGACAAAACAAGACTCATTCTGGAGGAAATGATTGGAGGGAGCAGCGCGCGGACGCCACTGAAGTTTGCTTAGATTGATCTCCTGCCCACCTCGCCGACAGAATGCTCCTCTCTCTCTCCCTTCCTCTCCATCCCTCTCTTGTTCTCTTTCCATCTCCCTCCCTCCATCTTCTTGTTCTGTCTTATCTCTTTTTCTTTCTCTCTCTATCTGTCTCAGTTTTTCTCTCTTTCCAGCTCTCCCCTCTCTTTGTTACTCTTTCTCTCCTCTCTGTTTCTCTCTCTCTTACTTTCTCTTCCTCTCACTATTACCCCTATCCCTTTCTTTCTCTCTTATTTTCTCCTCCCCTCTCTCCCTCTCGCAGTCTCTCTCTCTCCCTGTCTCTGTTTTTCCCTCTTTCCAACTCTCCCTCTCACTATTTCTCTCTCTAACGCTCCCCCCTTTTTTGTTTCTCTCTCTGTTTCTCCCCTTCTCCTCTCTCCCTCCTTGTCTTTGTTTTCTCTCTTTCCAACTCTACCTCTCTTTGTTTCTCTCTCTTTCTCCCTCCCTGTCTGTTTTTCTCTTTCCAACTCTCCCTCTCTTTGTTTCTCTCTTTCTCTCTAACTCTCCCTCCCTCTCTCTCTATCTCTCTTTCTCTCCTTCTCCCTTTCTTTCTTTCTCTCTCTCTTATTTTTTCCTACTCTCTCCCTCCTTGTCTCTGTTTTCTCTCTTTCCAACTCTACCTCTCTTTCTTTCTCTCTTTCTCTGTAACTCTCCCTCCCTTTCTCTTCCTCCATCCCTCTCTATTTCTCTGTCCCTCCGTTTCTCCCCTCTCCTTCTCTCTCCCTCTCTTTCTCTCTCACTCTCCTTCTCCACTCTCACTTTCTCCCTTTCTTTCTTTCTTTCTTTCTCTCCTTCTCATCTTTCTCTCTTTCTTTCTTTCTCACTCTCTCTCTCTGTCTCTCTTTCTGTGTCCGTGAGGGAATCCCTTTGGCATGTGAGGGACGTTCGATATCCCGCGGGCCGATGGGCGAGCGCTGCTGACACACACACACACACACACACACACACACACACACACACACACATACACGCACACACCAACACCCACCCACACACACGCACACGCACACACACGTTTTCCACATATGTTGGGGACTTTACATTGTCTTGCATTCATTACATGGAGACTCTGACCTTAACCAGAGTTATTATTTACCAAACCTCAACCGATGTTCTAACTACAACCAAAGAAGCCATATCTGAACTTTAAATCACGTTTTTGATCTAATCATAATAATAAAAGCATTAGGTGAGGGCTGCAACTTACAATTATTTTAGTATTTGACTAGATAAAAATTACTTTTTCAATTAGTCAATTTGTCTTTTTTTTTTTTTTCTTTTTTTTTTTGTACATTGAGATTTTTGAAACACATTTTTCACCAGATACAGATTGAAATATGGCGGTTGAAAACTTAGATATTAAGGTGTATTATTGGTGAAATGCAGAATTTTATTATTTTACCATTTTGATGCTGTCTTTGTCATTTTATTATTATTTTTTAATCATTTCTAGCTTTATGCATTTTAACACTTTTATTTATTGTTTTTTATTTATGATTTACTGTCTTTTATTGTACTAATTTATCTGCGCAACACTTTGGAAACGGTCATGTTTAGAAAATGTAATGTGTGGGGGTGGGATTAAATAAGTTTTCTTCTTCCAAACAACATTTTTTTGTTGTAGTTATTTTCATTTCTGTTATGATTTCACTTATATGTTCCATTGTATAAGAATGTAAATCTTTACTTGC